GAAAGGTCCATAAAAGTCCACAAAAACGTGTCAATATTCCTCCATACTGCTCGTCCAATGTAATCCAAGTGTCCTGAGTGGGTAGCATCCAGAATTTACTCGAAACGAAGTCATTTAGAATGTTTTTAGAGCATAAACAGTAGTGTATTGGATTTCCTAATAGCGCCCCCATGCGCGCTCACGATTCTACGGAAGCCGGCAGACCAAACCAGCGCATTCAGCTCGGCAAAGAACTCATGCTCTTCCTCAACACTGAAGTCCTCAGACATTTTTCTTTCGTTGTTTCTTTCTTTGCACAGGTAAACAGCACATTTCTTCTTCTACGCTTGCATTATCGGCAGACCAGACGCTGAATGCGCACTTTCTTCCGGTTTGGTCTGCCGGCTTCCGTAGAATCGTGAGCGCGCATGGGGGCGCTATTAGGAAATCCTATACACTACTGTTTATGCTCTAAAAACATTCTAAATGACTTCGTTTCGAGTAAATTCTGGATGCTACCCACTCAGGACACTTGGATTACATTGGACGAGCAGTATGGAGGAATATTGACACGTTTTTGTGGACTTTTATGGACCTTTCTGTCTCGGGCGCCATGGACCTCCATTATTTGAATGTCAGCAGACAGCAAGAAGCCTCCCAGATCTCCAGATGCATTTGAGATATCAAAAAAGTACTCCAGAGTGTTGTTCAGCATGGAGGTGAGTAGAAAATGAAGGCTAATCATGTTTTGGGTGTACTATTCCTTTAAGGGAGGCGAGCTGTTCTGTAATCCCTCCTTTTTTCCGCTCCACTCAGAGAAATATGCTCCTTTATTCAGCAGAATGCCAATCAGCTTCCCTCTCCGCCGCTCGGTGAATAATGTCTGATTCATTGGGGATTAAATGTGCACCAAACACGGTAATAAACCCGTTAAACTCTGAGGAAATAAGTTAGCGAGTTGCTGAGGGTTTGATCAGGTCATGCTTTTTTTATTCTTTAAGATTTCTTTTTATTTTAAAGGAAAAGTCGCTCATATTCAGAATTCCAACTTCTGAAAGTTCTTTAAATCTGAAATGATTCCATCCTGTTCAATAAATGATCAGTGTTTTTAATTCAGAGTAATTTTCATGTGAATGTGCTTTACTGGAGGCATCCATGTTTGTCAAAGAACACTACTGCCACCTACTGGTTAGTGACGTCACGGTGCGGTATCGGCTGTTGATCAAGTCCCAGTGCTGTATCTGGTGTTTGTCACAATGCGCTATTATCCAAGTCATCTTGAAAACATTCTTCTTCCAAATGTTGGCTACATATTACGGGTTTTTTCTCTGGCCAGAAGTTCGATGGCAAATCCTCCCTCTTCAAGTTGGCGATCCAACGACCAACCCGTCCGTGGAGGATCAGGAATTAGAAAGGTGGAATAACTCTCTTTTCCACTTTTACCCGATGTATTCCAGCATCCAGCTGCCATGCACGTGGGCATTGTCAGTTTCACTATAGCTCTGGTGAATTTCAATGGTGAAGTCCTCTGGAAATCTTCAATAATTGTTGTTGATTGCAGATGTGTCTAGTAGTTCCCATTGATTTAGCTTGGAAAGCGGGGAGAATGGCGCTAGGCTTACCGCACCGTGACGTCACTGCTGGAAGATGGCAGGAGGGAGGGGCTACTATATTTGGGCAAAAATGGCCGCTCCCAGACTCAGTGATCGCGACAAAAATATATTTTTTTACTGATTAACGCTAAATTCATTAAATCACCGCAAACGTATTAGTTTTAGGTATAAATGATGATCCATTGATTATTCACTCGACTTTTCCTTTAACTTTTCTTGTAACTGAATGACGACTGATCCTAAAAGGACGCCTCCCATAGAGGTGACCCGGTGTCGACTGTAAAGGCGTGACTCTGCTGATCGCAGCGATATTAACAGCAGCAAACCCAGTGTTTTTATCTGGGCTGCTCTCCATCCTGGTTTTCCTCTCTGTGCTCCGATCCATCAGGAGCTGATGCACTTTCAGACTCACTTTATTCTGCAGCCCATCCTTACATAACCAGGGAGGAGGGGGTCTAGGGGTTTAATTATAGCCCTATCTATCTATCCATCTATTATATTCTGTGTCCATCTTCCTCTTAAGGTCTTTTTGTGGGGCTGCCTTCCACGTGTTAGAACCTGCATCATATCGCATCACTTCAACCTGACAGACTCAGAAGGTCACTGAGCCCTTTAAGCTTCAGCTCCTTCCCTCCACGTCCCGCTCCACTTCACCCTTTCAAGCTAAACTTCCTTTAAGAGGTTTTTTTCTTCCTGTACTCCCATTACGCGCCGTCCTACTTCTTACTTCCTTTTTTTGGAGTCTACTGCGTTTAAGGCGCTTGCTGTGCGTCAGCAGCCATCCTGAGCTGAAAGCCGCCATGAACGAATGTCCGTCCATCCTTCTCTCCATCTGCCTCCTTTTTTGTTATTTTTTTTACTTCCTACTCTTCACTCACCCATTATTGTTTTTTTTTTAATATTTCTCCTTTTCCAAAAAAATCCTTGACCTGAAAGAGACCTTTGACCTTTCCCAGTAAAGTTAGTTTACGAGGCTTTAAAGGCTTTTAAAGGTCTGAATAATTTTATCTGCTAATGGCCGACTCCCTTTTCATGTTTTTTCTTTGCTTTAATCCTCTGGTAGTTGTCTAAAATAAGTTAAGCCTGTCAGGAAAAGTCTGACTGGAGGGAGAAGATCTTTTCGGTTTGGTTGGAAATGCACCAGCAGAGAAAGGCCAGAGATGGACGAGCTTTAAGACTCGTTAGACTTTCTTCTCGTCTGTTTTCTCGCTTTTTAACGAGCCCTGCGGCCTCAGAGCGGGATGTTTGTTCTCCTGGTGCAGATGGATGGTATACCATCTGACACGCAGGCGAAGCTCGGAGATCTGCAGCTAGAAATAAACACACATCAGTCAAAATGCTCCGTTTTCAAAAGGCCAAAGTTGCATCTAGTGGTTTTTACTGCCGATCCTCTAAGGTTTGTTTTTCTGTGTTTGACCTCCTGTACCGGTTTTTATCTCTGCTTAATTCCTGCTTTATTTCTTCCTGGATTTAATAACCAGTTCTTTCAACTTTCTGAGTCACTTTAAGATAAAATGTGGGGAGTTTGGCTACTTTGCAGCCATAAATGACTGTTTTAAGCCATTTCCCAGACTGAATGGATTCACCACTTTTGGAATATGGAAGAAAAACTGCAAATGTCGACCTTTTTGATGAACTCTAGCCAATCAATAAACACTGGATGCAGTCATGCAGCCTCTAACCAGTGAACTCGGCTCATTTGGTCATGTGATGCAACAGTTGGGCATAGCTTTGTTCTCAGCTGAATGAGGAGTTTTTCTTGTTTATTATTTCATTCTCCTGTGCTGTCGTCGCTCCACTGGCTTCCAGTCCGTTGATTTTAAACTTCTGCTGTTTGTTTTTAACGCCATCCATGGCTTTGGCCCCTCTTACTTGTCTGAGATTTTAAGTTTCCGTAATCGTGGCAGAGCTTTACGCTCCTCGGCTCAGCTTCTGTTAGAGGTCCCTAGGTCAAGACTCAAGCAGTGGGGCGATGGTTCTTTTGCCGTCGCTGCTCCCAGACTGTGGAACAAACTACCCCCTGACATCCGCACCATTACTGACCTCAGCCTTTTTTTTTTTTTAAGTTTAAAACCCACTTTTTTAAATTAGCTTTTAATTCCGTCTATAATACTGTCTCTCTCTGTGCGCTCCTTTCTATGCACCTCTGGAAGGCTTTTAATGTCCTGCACCAATACAGCACTTTGAATTGTATCTGTATGTTTTATGTGTTATGTATCGTTTTATGGCTTTGTTGTAAAGCACTTTGGGTTTCATTTGGCTATTGTAAAGGGCTATACAAATAAATTTGATTTGATCTGATTACAAAACATCAGGTAGCCACTAATAGACGGCCATCAGAGTTTTGCATCTAATCTGACTGAGCCAGCTGAATTTTCAGCAGATAAAAAAATCATTGTAAAAATTCAATGTACAAAACAAGGCAGATTCAAATGAGACAGTTTTTCTTCCATACATTGATGCATAAATAAATAAAGTTGATTTTCGTATGATGTTCACTGAAAGCCGTGGTGTCCAAAGCCAGTCGCCTCAGCTCCCCGTCCTGCATCCTAATCTAAGGCCGGTGATTCCCAACCGGGGGTATGCATGCCCCTAGTGGTCCATGAGTGCATTGCAAAGGGTACATGGAAATATTTGATTTCTTAAAGGCAAGGTCCGGTCATATTCAGAATTCAAACTTGTGAAAGCTTACCGCACCGTGACGCCACTGCTGGTAGATGTCAGGAAGGAAGTTTACTATAATTACAAATGGCCGCTCCCAGACGCTAAATTCATGAAATCGCCGCCAACATATTAGCTTTAGGTTTAAATAATGATCCATTGATTATTCCTTGCTGACCGGACTTTTCCTTTAAGGAGTAAAATAAAATGGCGCTGGGATCTGTTCTACTTAGTGAGGATTCAATTGAAAAATTAAACAAGTTTTATCAACCAGAAAGTTTTCCTTATATGAGGAGGAGGTTATGGAGGGGAAAGTGAAACACTTTGGGGTTAGTTTCAAACTGCAACTATTCATCAGAGTAACTGACTTTCAGGTCATTTTATCCTTTTTTTTTTATTTATTTTCTTTAAATAGCCGCTGGCTGCAGGTTTGGAGTCTGAGGGAAGCGGCAGCATGTTCAAATCTGCTGCTGAGCTCCGAGTCGGCAGCCAAAATCAGGTTTTATTTCAAAGCAGGCAGCAGGGGAGGTGTGAGGGATGGATCTTCACACACACACACACCCTGACACAGAAACCCTCCAGTCCGTCAAGCTCCCATCCTGCTGGATTCTGGCTCCTCGCAGCGCGTCCTGTCTTCCTCCTCATTGGCTCGGCCGGGTCACTGTAGCTCCTGTCGCTTTGGCGTCAGCTTCTATCCTGCTTCCAGTCTAACAGAACTGTTGTTTGTTTTTGTCCCCTGCTTTGCAGAACATCATGGAACAGTTCAACCCGTGCTTACGGAACTTCATAGCCATGGCCAAGAGCTACGAGAAGGCTCTCACCAGTGAGTACACCAACCGTCTCCTGTTGACTCTGTGGTGGCGGAGGGCCGGCTGGCCTAACGCCTGGTGCTGATGTAGATCCTCCTGGAATAAAGTGATGATGATGATGTTCTGCAGAGTCACGTTTTCCCGTCTGAATCCAGACCTAAACTGACGGAGCTCTGTGGTCGGTTAGAGTTGGTATCTTATTAATTTCTGTGCTGGAATCTCTTCATGATGGTCTTCCGGACCGTTTCCCGTCTCGTCTCCCTCCTTGCTTTGCTGTACCTTCACTTCCTAAATGTCTGCTTCTTCTTTGCTTCCTCTGTCATGGCTTCTAGTTGCTTTTGCTCATGTGTTTGCATGGTCATGGGTGTGAAAGGTGGGCGCCTCAGACGCCAGCGGCTGGAGGCTAAAAACAAAGCAACCGAGGCGTCCTGCGGGAGCTAAGGGGAGCAGGGGGTGTTGCTAGAGTAACGGTACCTCCACCCATGGGGCCGAGGAAATGGGAACAGGCTGAGAGAGAATCCAGGACAAGACAGTCGGGATGTTTTATACAAAACAATCAGAACTTTTTGATTTTTGGATAAGATTTGAACGGAGTTCCACCTCTGATACTGGATTTGATGCTTTAAGAAGCATTTCTCTGTTTGTGATTGAGTGCGTAGGGAGGAGGATGCTGCCCCCCCCGGCGTGGCAGCGCCTGGCGCGGAGCAGGACTCTCCTTTTGTTTAGAGGAGTGGAGATGCAGGGAGAACTCAGCTGCCTGCAGGAACAGAAAAGGAGGCGTCGCTCCTGACTGATAGATGAAGCTAAAAATAACCCTGCTACTCCCTGAGAGGGGATTGCACTTCATCAATGCCTCGCCACAACTCTGGGGGGGGGGAGTTTAGGCTCAGACCAAGTTAAAAGGGTGGAGCACCCAGCAGTCATCTTATTGTCATTGGAAAAAAATCTGCTACTGGTTCTAGAGACACGGTGGCGTCTGCATCCCAGAGGAGGTTAAAAGCAGCCAGTCATTGAGGTGGGGGGGCTTACTTGGACTGGGTTGTTTCCGGAGTCTTAAAACTAGAGCTGCAACTAACCTTTATTTTGCTGATCAATTAATCGGTCATTTATTATTTTCATTAATAATAGGATGGATAAAGGTTACTTTTCATGAAAATAAACCAGGTGAAACTCAAACTTTTCCACCTGGGGAGTTCTGGATGGAGCAGATTGGCAGGGGAGTTTTTATTTTTTACCTTAAATGCAAAATGTTTATATTTTTCAACAATCTTGGTATAATTCCTGCTGTTAGTGAGTCGCTCTATCAGCTAAAGGCAGGTTTTACAGTCTCTATAAACCAGTTAACAATTAATCAATCAATCACTATATTAGTTGATTGTTATTTCAATTATCCATTAATCCAATTAATTGTTTCAATTCTACCTTAAACCTCCTTGATGACTGAGGAAGGAAACTGGCGTAAATGAGCAGAACTCCGTTTTTCGAAGTTCCAGCAAACTGAGGCTGAAAGATGCTGCATGTTTGGATGAGCAAGAAAAACGGCTCATCTGGAGGATAGTAAAGATCCGAACATGTTTTAAAACAACTTCAGTTCTGTTTCCTACAGTGAGAATTAGGGCTGCTGGCAAAAAAACAAACAAAAAAAAGTTTTTTTATTTTAATTTTTTTGAGTTTAATATGAGAAAAATGTCAGAATTCTGACTTTAATCTTAAAATTCTGACTGTTTTTCTCATATTTAACTCAAATTAAATAAAAAAAACATCAGTTAACTTTTTTATTCCTAACAAAAAGGAAAAGGTCCAAACTCTAAGATAAGTCAGAATTCAGATTCCTTTTTTTTTTAAACGTATTAAACTCCCATAACATAAAAATGAGTTCACTTTAATGGTCTTCTGTAGTTTCCTCCTAAACTCAAATGATCACGATCTTTAGCATCTTTAAATGTCTAAAATGTTCAATCAGAGCAGATCTGTTGAGGTTCGAATCTTCTTCAACTAAACTTTGAGTCCCTGTGATGTAGATCTTAGAAACCCAGAGCAGAAAGCATCTTTGCGGTAAAAGCGGCGAGCCCGGTCTGAGGCTCTGGGCTCAGAATAGATTGCTATTGTTTTCCAAGCGAGCGCTTTGTCATTTTCTCCTCCTCTCTGGGATTCAGGGAGTGAATGAAAAACAGCCTGAGCCGACAGCTCGGTGATAAACCCGGCCTCTGCTGTCGGCCCCAGCCTCCGACCCGCTCTCCGTCTGCGCCTGTTAGGGCCCGACTCACCGAGCGGCTACAAGGAGACCCTTAAAACCCAACATGGAGGAGCTCTGACAAGAGGTTTATTAAAAATTTTATAAGGAGGAGGGGATAGAAAACAATCCCATTTATGTCACACAAATGTTTTCCACCAATAAGGAGGCTGCTGGGTTGGATTTAAATTCCCCAGATTTCTGATTTATTCAGCTAAACCAGCTATGATATGGAGGTTTAACGATTGGATATAAACTACTAATATTGAGAATAAAATCATCACATTATGGAAATAAAGTGGTATCTTTGTGGGAAATAAAGTTAAAGTCTACATTTGCTCTCATCATATAAAAAAGTCCTGATTTTTACCTTTTAATTTGTTTTATTCTTGGATTTTCAACCTCATTGATTCCGGGTTTCTGCCCCATGGATACTCTATAAATTTCCTCTATGATGTAGATATTTAATGCTGAAGATGATCAGCTGGAGATGATGACTTATTGGTTTGTAGAGAACGGGAGTTTTGCTTAAGCTGAGGCTTAATCTCTGCAGCTTTCTGCTTCCTGCGGTCCTTTTTTAGAGCTTTTTTCCTCCATTTCCGCCTGTCGCCCTTTTACCTCCCGTGCCTGGGCTTGCCTCTCTGTGGGAGCGGAGGGTTGCAGGGGATGGCTACAGAGCTCCGCTCGGCACCGTTGATCTGACGCCCCATGCTTCCATGTTTCCAGGTGTCACATATGCTGCAAAGGGCTACTTCGACGCTCTGGTGCGGATGGGCGAGATGGCCAGCGAAAGCCAAGGCTCTAAGGATCTCGGTGAGTCCTGGTAGAGTCAGCGGTTCCCCTGGTGAGGTGGAGGGGGCGGGGCTTGGATGGGATGGCAGAAGCAGCTGATCACCAACCTTCAACCAGGCAAACACACCACCAAAAAGCTTTTGCTGTCCGGTTGGAGCGCTCTCCATCTCTGCTGTCCCCTTCACCTTCTACGTGTTTGAGGAGCAGTCCCCCCCCCCCCCCCCACTGAGCTCATCATACGCTGTGTTTGTCTGGTCTGGCTTGGATTGGGTCTGGTTCCGCTCAGTCGGCTGCTCAGCGGCGGCGATGGGAGCCGAGGCAGCAGGTGGACTGAACATTGTTTGGGAGGAAGTTGTGTTGCAGCAGCAGATCCGTTAACATGGCAGGATGTGCAGGAAGTCAGTCCTGGATGCAGATTCTTGTTTCTTATGTCTGGTTCTGATGTGGAACAGAAGCAGGAGAGTCAAAGGGTTCCTGAGATTCAGTTTTTATACCTTTTAATACCTTCCTTCAGAGCATTGTTTCATTTAAAGACACCATCCAGGGCGATTATGCAGAAAACCATTCTTTTTCACCAGTATTTTATTTAGATTTTCCTTTGCACTAACCCCAAGGAGATGTTTCACCGCAGGCTTTCAGTTATGAAAGCTTGTTTGAAAGGAGTCCATTGTTGCAGGATTTTAGTGTAACTTTTGTAAGAAAAAATGGCTTACTTCTGCTTGCATGCATGGATCTGCGTGGTAACGGCACCTTTCGGCAAACCCACTGGGTTAGGGTTAGGCTGCTACCTAAAGAGCTGGAGTGAGAAATGTAGGCTTTTAATCTCGCCAAATGTAATCGCACCATAGCTCCAGTTACACTATATTTACACTACACTTTAGAAACCGTGCCGACATCAGTCTGAGCACGGTAACCCAGATAACTGAGTGTAAATGGCAAAAACTGAACCAGTTTAGCTACCAGATCTGCTCGGGTCCTGCTTCCTGCCAGAGATGTTAAGCCACACAATTGGCTGAGCGTCGCCACATGATGTAAAACACTGGTTGCCACAACGATGACATCACGCAGCATCAGGGTGCCGAGTCAGGAGCATCTGCAGCGTTAGCGTTTCTAATGACCGATTCAGTTTTACCTGATCGATAACAAAACTGAAAAAATGTGTTTCTGGTGAACAAAGTAACTGTTAGACCGTGATATAAAGAGCTGGGTAGCGCTGTGGCTAGCTGTAGCTAACAGGTTAGCCTCACTAAGCTACACTACTTTTAAATTCGTGACAACCGTTCGTTTTCTACAAGTAGAATGACTGTTTTCTTTGTCTAAAAGCTCTACGAAAGTCATATTTAAGATGTTCATTTTGTCCTCTGCCCTCAGATCTTAATAAAAAGAATAAAAATAAACTGAGAATTTTTATGTCTCCTTTTTAAATATCAGAGCTCAGTCTGTCTTAAAGCAAGACTTTCCTTCCAGACTGACAATGATTGTTTTCTACTTTCTGCTGCTTTAGATCGATGATTAAATGTGAAATAATAGCAGATATAGCTAATAAAATGCTAAGACTCCAATAGAGATTTGATCCTTAAGAAACGGGCGCAATACAGTTTTTACGAGCGGAGTTGCCATATGATGAGGTCATAAGAAGGGGCGGGGCTCCGAGCAGATCTGACTCGTTGTTTCCTGCGTCTGGAAGCCCTGATTAGACGATCGTTTGTCGTTTCCACTTCCCAAAAGCCGACTCTGTCAAGTAAATTCACCAAAGGCTGCCTTCTTCGCCTGACCCTCCGCAAACTTCCTCAATGATACAGGCTCCACCATGTTGGTTTGTTTTCCTCTAGAGAGCAGTAGTACCATAGATCGCCAGTAGGAGGCGAGGAACCGTGATACCACGGTGCTTAAATGCTTGTAAGGAACCGAGCTCGGCACGGTTAACTGATCCAAGCTCGGCACGTTTTCAAAAGGTAGTGGAAATAGAGCTTATAATTAAGTTCCTCTGCGATTTGAAAATTGCCTTTTTTGAAATTGCAAAAGCAATTAATTGCCCAGCCTTATTTTATACCCATTGTAGCTGCGATCAGAGGCACTTCTTTCTGCACTGATCGTCTTTTTATCGATACCTTTGCTTAGTTTTTGATATAACTTTTTTAATGTTCTGTATTTTATTTGTATAAATGTGCAGAATAGTTTTAGTGATGTTTGAGCCCCCCCCTCCATCCAAGTGTCTCCATTTTCCACAGCTTCGTTGCTTCCATGTTTTCGGCGCTGCATGGCTGTGCGTTCAGAGGGTTGCTTGTTGTGCTTCTTGTTTTTTTGTTCAGTTCTTCTTTTTTATTTTTGGCAGCTTAAACGTGACTCAGTCGCTCCATAAAGCTTCGCTCTGCCTTCAGTGGAAGCAGAATGGATGATCAGCTGCTGGTTGTGCATCCTGAGGGGATGGATGCTGCATGGTCTGTTTCTTTAAGGTTTTTATTGGTGAATAGAAACTAAATTCTCATTATTAATCTACATTGCACAAAAAATAATATCTAAATAAACCCCTTTTTCTTAAAATAAGTGATTTTTTTCTTAAAACTGAGGTGGAAAGTAAGAAAACTTTGCCAATGGAAGAAGACAATTTACATTTAAAATAAGAAACAACAATTGCATTGTGTTATTTCTATTGCATATTATCTAATTATCTTATTTTAAGAGTAAAAATCCTCATTCATTGGCAAATCATCTTATTTACCAACTCAAATTAAGGGTAAATACACTTATTTTAAGAAGTTTTGACTTATTTCTTGATCGTTTTTCCAGTGTATCTCCAAACCTAAAGCTATCTATAGAGCAAAGATAGATAAGCAGATTTCCCTGGAAGTATTTGATAGACTGTAATCAGAATATAAATGTATTTAAACATGAGGGGAGTTTTTATCGATGTAATTCCCTCCTTTATTTACCTGGTTTGTTGAGTTCAGGGACTCTTTTCCATGACAAACAGACGCTGTGCCCGGGCTCCAGGATTTCTCTCCGTTCTGCTGTAGGTCAGGAAACACAGAGCGCTTTGTTCTCAGATTATGTGGCAGCATTCCTCAGCCTGGCAGACTTAATTAGTAGATAACCAGGATTATGGATTTGTATCAAAGGTAAAGTTTGCTGGCCGTTGCTTGGTCATCCATGCACATTTTTCCCTCTTCATAAGTGATTTTGAATTCTTTTTTATTGCATAAGTGAAACGAAGTTCTCTGCAGCATGAAGTCCCTCACAATGAAACGTATGACAGTATTATGATGATACATGGTTTGCACAGGGATGTGAAGACGTTTAGAGGAAGAGATGCTTTCATCAAACTGGGTCTAAATAAAAACAGTCTCAGGTTGAATGAATGAAATGTAGATTTTATTTATTTTTTTTTTTTATACTCATGATATAAAAAAGACGAGCTTTTTTCATTCCAGCAACGAGAGAATTATAATTGCTTTACACGAGTCAGACTGAAAGGAAAACATTCAAACCGATAATATGAAGCCTGAAACCAACCAAATCGTTCCTGCAGTCTGCTGGTGTCTGTTCAGCAATTCGTTTGAGTTCTACACCAGACAATAAATAAATAACAAAAATAAATAAGTAAAATAAACATCTAATAACTTAAAAAAATAAGACGATTAAAAAAAGTGATAAATTGATGAATTGATAATGATAGAAAACATAGAAAAATGGTAAAAAGATAACAGTTATCTTAAAGGAAAATTCTAGTCAGCAAGGAATCAAGGATCTTTATTTATACCTAAAACTAATATGTTCACAGTGATTTAATGCATTTATTGTTAATCAGTAAAAAATTTAAAACAATAATTTTCGTTGCGATCACTGAGTCTGGGAGTGGCCATTTTGGCCCAAATATAGTAGCCCCTCCCTCCTGCCATCTTCCAGCAGTGACGTCACGGTGCGGTAAGCCTAGCGCCATTCTCCCCGCTTTACAAGCTAAATCAATGGGAACTACTAGACACATCTGCAATCAACAACAATTATTGAAGATTTCCAGAGGACTTCACCATTGAAATTCACCAGAGCTATAGTGAAACTGACAATGCCCACGTGCATGGCAGCTGGATGCTGGAATACATCGGGTAAAAGTGAAAAAAAAAGAGTTATTCCACCTTTCTGATTCCTGATCCTCCACGGACGGGTTGGTCGTTGGATCGCCAACTTGAAGAGGGAGGATTTGCCATCGAACTTCTGGCCAGAGAAAAAACCCGTAATATGTAGCCAACATTTGGAAGAAGAATGTTTTCAAGATGACTTGGATAATAGCGCGTTGTGACAAACACCAGATACAGCACTGGGACTTGATCAACAGCCGATAAATATAAATATATATATAAAAAAATGCACCAAAGGCATCTCTCTAACATCTATAAATATCAGTTATTCTGGTTCTCTGTGTTCTCAACAATAGGAAAGCATTCAATAAATAGATGTTTGAGCTCATTTTTGGAGAATACAAAAACCTATTGAAAGCGTTCAGGTGGAGTAACTGTAGATCCATCAGCCCCCACCCTCAGAGCGCCCCCCCAACTTTCATCACTAAGTTACACCCTCGATACAATGACTAGAAATAATGAAGAGGAATGTGTCTCCTCTACGGGGCTCCTGGTTTATTTAGAGCTAAGTTCTTTCCTTGCTCTCCTGAACTGACGCCACGGCGCCACGAGAGTCCGAACAGGAAGAGGAAAGGATGCCTCACGGTTTCATTCAGTGGATCCTGATTTACGCAGTGCTGTCATACTTTGACCAACTGCTCTGCTTTCCAGAGACGGTGTGCAGAGAAAAGGAGTGATTCCTTTACTGCGGAGTGGAGCATCATCCCACTCATCTGCTCCTCTTTCACTGCACCGTGTGTCTGCAGACGGCCACGCATTGATGTGGGAGCTGATGCAGCCCTGAGAGAACACGCCGACTCTGCACACGTTTCCAAAAATAGACGAAATAAAATGCCACACCGACGGAGAACGAGAGGAGACGGAATACGACGCTCCATCCGCAGC